GGGGGCGCAGGGGACCGGGCAGGGCAGGGCCTGACAACAATGCAAATTTTGATAAGCAGTTCTTGATAATCATTTCTCAGCAATTATTTATTACAGTTTAACATTATAAAATTAAAAATAATATAAAACTCATATTCTGGCAAAATAGTCATATGGCGGCCGAAAACCGTATATTCCCTTCTTGTTCTCCAGCCCATTCCTGCATTCTTTCTAAAAATCGGGACTTTTTAAAAATGCTGTGGGACGTGAGACAAATTGTTGAAAAGTGGGACTGTCCCGCCAAAATCGGGACGTCTGGTCACCCTAAACTACACAGAATAGGATTACAAATAAACACATTACATCAAATTCAGAACTGCTGCAGGACAGATTTATTAACTGATAGGATGTCTAAAGAACATTTTGCTGGAAATAACTAAAAAAGCTAAGAAGTGTGAAGAAAAAAGCAATAAAGTGGAGAACAGAATAGATTACTGTACAGGTAACATTTACATTATTAGCTTATTTAATCTTCACAACAAGCAGTTGATGCTTTTCCCTTTGGAAAAGGAGGGAGAATAGATTCAGAGACATTAGACAACTTGGCCAAGGTCACACACACAGCATGGAGGCAAGACTCTACCTCAGGACTAAGTAAAGGAGACCCCCCTCCACCCCATCTCTACTAAAAATAGAAAAAAAAAAATTAGCCAGGTGTCCTGTTGGTCCCAGCTACTCAGGCAGCTGAGGCAGGAGGATCACCTGAACCCAAGAGTTTGAGGTTGCTGCAAGCAGGACTGATGCCATGGCACTCTAACTTAGGGCAAAAAAAAAAAAAAATGTGTCTTTCAGCACACATTCTAAATCTCTATTGGAGAGTTCACTGTCAATGATATTAAGCTCAATTCCAAACAATACCATCAAGAACAACCTGTCACCTTACCAGAGCTCTTTCTAGAAATTTTTTTTTTTTTTGAGTCAGAGCCTTAAGCTGTCCCCCTGGGTAGAGTGCCATGGCATCACAGCTCATAGCAACCTCAGACTCTTGGGCTTAAGCAATTCTCCTGCCTCTGCCTCCCAAGTAGCTGGGACCACAGGTGCCCGCCACAACGTCGGGCTATTTTTTGGTTGCAGCTGTCGTTGTTTTGGCAGGCCCAGGCTGGATTTGAACCTGCCACCTTAGGTGTATATGGCTGGCGCCTTAGCCACTTGAGCCACAGGCGGCAAGCCAACAAACTGGCTTTAAAAAGTAGCCATGAGATAGGGAGCAAGTAACAAAAGTAGATGGAAAAAGCAGAATGTGTGTAACTGACTGCTAAAGCTGGGTAATGAGTGCGATGCATGTGTTACATTATTGTTTCCTCTGTATTTGAAATCTTTAAAATAAAAAGTTTTAAAATGCTTTTTAAAAATAGAACTATGTTGGGGGAGATGCAACAAATAAAATGAGTTTTGGGGTTTTTTTGTTTTTTGCTTTTAAAGACAGGATCTCACTCTATTGCCCAGACTAGACTGCAGTGAATGATGTGGCTTCAAACTCCTGGGCTCAAGTGATCCTCTAGACCAGCAGTTCTCAACCTATGGGTTGCGACCCCTTTTTAACAATGAAAGTACATTGTGGTATTAGGAAGGCTGAGAACCACTACTCTAGACTCACCTTCTGATAGCTAGGCTACAGGCATGTGCCACTGCACCTGGCTAATATTTTAATTTTTGTAGAGGAGATATGCTTGCTATGTTGCCCGGCCGGCTTTGAATACCTGGCCTCATGCCATCTTTCTGCCTTGGCCTAAAAGCAGCATTTTAATCGACTAATATTAGGCTGGTAACATATACACAAACACAGACAAGTCACTTCTGGACTCTGTGAAGCTATTTTCTTCACATCCACATAAACTATGTAAACATTCTCTGGAGTCTCATGATCATATTGAAGTGCCTGGCACATTACAGGAGAAAAAAGGCAACAAGTTAAAATTTATTTTTCTCGGAGAGACCAAGGCAGGTGGATCACTTGAGCTCAGGAATTCAAGACCAGTCTGAGCAAAAGCAAGACTGTCTCTAAAAATAGCCAAGCGCTGTGGTGGGAACCTATAGTCCCAGCTACTTGGGAGGCTGAGGCAAGAGGCTTGGCTGAGCCCAAGAGTTTGAGGTTGCTGTTAGCTATGACACCACAGCACTCTACAGAAGATGACAAAGTAAGACTCTGTATCAATAAGTAAATAAATAAAATTTATTTTTCTACCTCTTTCTACCTCTATATTATGAAGACGAGAGTGTTTCCTTAAACAAATTAAGAAATCTATTATAGCAGGAAAAAAAATCATCCTCAAGGCAAGCCAAGTTCAGCATCATTACAAAACTCCATCCAATTCATGAGAGGTACATCAACTGATTCCTGAGAATTTCTCTCTTAGAGGAAAACAAAGGCCTCAGTCCTTGGCAGCTATCATCAGAACCCCTCCTTCCCCCACATTCTCACCATTCCTCTGCAGTGCTACCATATTTCCCCCAAAATAAGACCCACCCCCAAAATAAGCCCTAGCAGGATTTCTATGCATTTGTTAAATATAAGCCCTACCCCAATAATAAGACCTAGTGATGGGTGTCTTATGCTGCATAGCCACCCCATACATTTCGGGGCAGAGTGGTAAGAAGACTGGAATACCTTTTATGTGCCACAGCTCCTTTCTCCAAGAACTTTTTTTTTTCTCCTAGAGACAGAGTCTCACTTTATCACCCTCAGTAGAGTGCCATGGCGTCACAGTTCACAGCAACCTCCAACTACTGGGCTTAGGTGATTCTCTTGCCTCAGTCTCCCGAGTAGCTGGGACTACAAGTGCCCACCAGAACACCCAGCTATGTTTTTGTTGGAGTTTGGCCAGGGCTGGGTTTGAACCTGCCACCCTCAGTATATGGGGCCAGTGCCTTACCTACTGAGCCACAGGTGCCGCCTGACAGTTTATATATTTTGTGATAATTATTTTTAAAGCTACTTCTATATCCAAATTCTCCAACAATGATTGTGTCTTCTGAACTTGATGATTCTCTGAATTTATGGTACTCCATATTTATATATACTCCCACAAGAATCCATTATTTGTGCAAATTATTTCAGGCACAACTGTGAAAAATATTGAGAATGAAGCGTATGATGCTTAGAGATTCAAGTCAGGTAACACAATGGTAACACACACGGTCAAGTATTTGTTAGCAAAATGAACAACACCAACAAGGATCATTAGCACCAAAGGAACATCCTGTATTGAACGCCTAAAGGCATCATTTGCACCAAATTCCTAGTTTGAATGCCTATAGACCTTGTTCACAGTCAAAAGGTTAATAAGATGCCAAGCTTCATTGCTCACTTTTCACATCCTGTCTTCTTTAAACAACACAACCACTGTGGATGGAGAAATATTCTCATCACCATTTTAAAGAGGAAAAAACAGCTTCATTTTCAGCTTTTACAATCCCTCTCTCTTTCTCCAGGTTTGAGATTAAGAATACAGAAATTGGGGTAAGACACACATGGGTTAATAATCAAAACTCTGCCAGTCTTAGCTGTGTTACCTGAGGACGAACCACATCTCAGACCATTATTACTACTCATCATTTTTTTTTTTTTTTTTTTTTTTTTTTGAGACAGAGCCCTTGGTAGATTGCTGTAGCACCATAGCTCACAGCAATCTCTACCTTCTGGGCTCAAGCAATTTTCCTGCCTCGGCCTCCCAAGTAGCTGAGACTACAGGCTCCCGCCACAGAGCCTGGCTATTTTTTGTTTGCAGCCGTCATTGTTGTTTGGCGGGCACGGGCTGGGTTTGAACCCGCTACCTCAGGTGTATGTGGCTGGCACCTTAGCCGCTTGAGCCACAGGCGCCAAGCCTATTCCTCCTCTTTTAAATGCGATCAACGTTACCGACATTGACCCCCTAGACGAGGCTACTGGAAGAATCTGGGGCTAAAACATGGTTTCCGAATTAAAAAAAAAAAAAATCAGTGTGTACAGCCGGATGAGCGGATAAATTTACACAGCTTGTCACGGAAAACCCTGCGGGTCCTAAGGCCATCCCAGCGAAGAAAGCTCACTTACCATGAGGCCGCAGGTTTGAATCCCAGCTCAGACATCTAATGAGTTGTGACCTTGAACAGGTCACTTCACCTCTCTAAGCCTATTCAACATATATGAGCCGAACCTTACGTGGTGTCAGGCACGATCTTAGGGATTAGCTAGAGCTTAATTTGACCTTCAACTTCGGGTAGAAGTACAGAAGCTCCGCGGAGCGTTCAAACGCAAAACGCCTGGGTCGCGGAGAAGAGGACGCCATTCGTCATAGAAAAGGGAAAGTGACCAAGGCAGTGCATTTCCAGGCCCAGAGCCGCGTGCGGCAGCTGCCCTCCGCCCTCACCTTCCACGCCGAACCCCGGAGACTCGGGCCCGGGGCAGCAAGAAGCCGCCACTGGGAGGGCGGACGGTCAGACAGCTCAGAACCCTTAGAGTAAGAGCCCTCTGCATCTTAACTAAGGGCGCGGCAAAGTCCCTGAGCGAAGGGCAATCAGCTCCGCAACTCCTTTTCCTCCCAGGGTCTCTGGGCCGTGGACCCCAGCTCCTGTTTCCACCTTGGCATCCAAAGTGCCCTGCCGGAGACCAGAACCTCACCTGCTGACGCCATCTTGGAGCTCTGATGTCTGCTGGGCCCGGCCGCGTGAGGGCTGCTGGGTAGGGACACACGCCCCCGAGGGCGCGGAAAGTAGAGGCTCACGGGAAGCAGATCCGGATTGACTGCTATAAATAAGCCTGGGGCTGCCAGCGTGCTTTGAAGGGAAAGGCGCCAACCCTGGTAGACGAAGAGAGGGGATTTCCGCAGTGACAGATTGGGAACCTCTGGCTGGGGTCCCTATTCCAATCGGCCAGAAAGAACAACAACAAAAAGAAAAAAAAAACAGGAGGGAGAGAGGAAAAGGGCATTCTGGCTTTCTTACCTTGTCCTGTGCCCCTGTGCTCTTCAATTTATTGTGAAAAACGTGAGGGGTATATCAAAGATGATATGGCCTATCATCCATCTGTGCTGGATGAGAGGAAAGCTCAGACTCTCTCGCTCTCTCTTTTTTTTTAAATTAAATCATAGCTGTGTACATTAATGCAGCCATGGGGTACAATGTCAGACTCTTAATAGAAGAACCGGCGCCAGGTAAAGCTGGTGCCCAGGATTAGGCTCCAAATAGTTTTGAGTCAAGGGCACCTGTAAGTGTCCAGGCTCTTGGCTGGGCTCTGAGGACGGAAATAAACAAGACCCTGAGGGCACTGTGAAAGATGGGCACTATAGTGTTAAGAACAGATTTTAATCAGTAGTAACTTTTGCAATAGGGAGAGGAGTCCTGCATGAATGGAACTAAACTTCGATTGTACAGAGGTGACAGTGTTTTAAAGGGAAGATATAGGAATGAGGAGGGAGTGAACAAGGGCTCAGTAGACTCAGGGAAGTGAAAAGTTACAAAAAGCAGGAGTTGGTCAACATGAAACCCATCTAGGTTTGCTAACTGGTGCTTAGAGAAGTTAAGCTCCTGCCCTCCCACAGAGGTTGGAAGACTAGAGCCCTATCCTCACGTGTTGGCTGGAACAGGAAGTTTTTCTGGTAGCCTGGAACTTTTTCAAGCAGGCACCCTAAGGGATGGCTATGGGTATCCTAGGGATGTGGCCTTGAGATGTTAGAAACTTTATTAGTGTTTATTCAAGCCTTTATAGGCCAAGACTGAAGCCTAGTAGAGGAATGGCTCAGAGGAGCCTGACTGGAGTTAAGTCAAGGAGAAAGTTAATCCACAGCTCTAGTTCTTTCTGGCACAGTGATGCCTCCAAGCACCATAATGCCTCACTGCCATCTTGTTACTTCTGGAAAGGCCACAATCTGGGGTAGATAAGCAAAGACTTAACTGGACTCTATTTCTGGTTCAGCAATTCTGACTTGAGCAAGATATTTTGATTCCCTGAAACTCAGTTTTCATCTCTGTAAAACAAGAATGTAATAATTACCAGGCATTCTTATAGGAGTTAAAAGAAACAATGTATGTGAAAATTAAGGATTGTTCCACACTGACACATGAAATTTAAAAAATAATAATAAAGGATTAAGAACCAACTGACTATTAGGACTTAGACCAGTGAGCCGATAGCCTGACCAGGAAAGTGAGTTGGGTAACTTAGTGATCCAACTTGGTTTCTATCAGTCATTTGTTCATTTGCCAAACACATACTGCTCTATACTAGGCACTAGGGACATAGAATCCAATTAAACGTGATCTCTGCACTAGCTTTCCCTGATATTGTCCAGGTAACTGGATGTGTTGACAAAAGAGAGCATGGACAGCAATGTACAATGTGCACAGCAAGGAGCCATGAATTCCTTAATGAGGGAGAAGTTTGTGAGGGCTTCAGAGAACAGGTGCTTATCAGAGCTGCTTTTGAAAAATGAAGAATTGGTGCTTGCTTGGGCAGCACATATACTAAAATGGGAATGATAGAGAGAAGATTAGCATGGCCCCTGCGCAAGGATGACACGCAAATTCGTGAAGCATTCCATATTTTTTTCTTCTCAGTAAAGTATCTCAAGAATGGAAGAAAAAATATCCATAGTATCCCTATTTTGAAACTAAACCATAGCTTTTATGGGAATGTCATAACCTAATTATAGCCTTAGAATATGGGAAGAGGGTGGGAGAGGGGATGCAAGGGGGGTGGATGGGGGTAGGGAGGGTGATTGGTGGGGTCATCTATATGGTTTATCCTACAAGGGTACAAGTGAATCTTTCTAAAAGCAGAGTATGAATGTCTTAACTTAATGACTAAGACATGAAGGTTATGTTAACCAGCTTGATGAGAGTATTTCAAAATGTATATGGAAACAGGACACTGTACCCCATGATTGCATTAATGTATATAGTTATGCTATAAGAAATAAATTTTTTTAAAAAAGGAAAAATGAAGAATTGGTTGCCAAAGGTGATAAAGGGCACTCCACACACCAGGAACTGCATGTGTAAATGTGTAGAGGGTTTTGACAATTTGAGTCAGAATTTGGGTTTTGTGAATTTGAGACAGAATGACAAAGGTTGGGGAGTTAATTGTTTAATGAATAGTTTTTGTTTGGGATAATGAAAAAGTTCTGGAGATGAGTGGTTCTGATGGTTGCACAACAATATGAATGTACTTAATGATTCTGACTTGTACATTAAAAAATGGTTAAAACGATAAATATTATGTGCATTTTAGAACAATAGAAAAACTCACAGGAAAAAGGCAATAAACAGTTGTTAGACCTGAAAAGACTCAGATGTGTGTTGTAACTAGTAGACAAAGACTTAAAACCACCTATTACAATTGAGACCCAAAAAGCAAGGGCAAACACTTGAATGAGTGGAAAATAGAAAATCTCAGGAGGGGAAAACAAGCAATGAAATTGAGTGAAAATACCAATCTTAAAACTAAAAATAAATACAATAATTTATGGAATCACAAGCAGAAGAAGATGATGACACAGAAAAATCTGTGAACTCAAGGATAGATTGGTAGAAATGATACAATCTGAACAATGGAAGAAATTGAAAAAAAATAACAGAGCCTCAGAATCCCCAACTATCCAATATTGCTGTGCTTGAATGTGTCCCATCCAACTCATGTTCAAATTTCATTCCCAATGTAGCAGTGTTGGGAGGTGAGGCTCCCAACGTTATTTGGATCGTTATTTGGATCATAGGGGTACTACTATCATGAATAAATTGATGCTGCTGTCTCATGGACTGACTCTTGAGGGAATGAATTAGTTCTCATGCGAGAAGGTTGTTATAAATGAGCTAAGCCTCTCCTGCATGTCTGCTTCCTCTTCAGCTTCTCCACCATATTGTGACATAGCATAAGGCCCTCACCACAAGTTGAGTAGATAAGAGCACCATGCTCTAAGTCCTAGGACTTTCCAGCCCCAGATTTGTGAGACAAATAAACATCTTTGCTTTATGAATTACCCAGCCTCAGGTAGTCTATCATAGCAACACAGAACAGACTAAGACAAATAGTTTGGTCATTGTTTTCCCATAAGAAGAGGAGAAAGAGTGTTGTACAGAAATAAATATTTAAAGGATAAAAATTATAATAAATTTAAGAAAAGACAAATTTATAGGTTCAAGAAGCTTGGGAACTACAAACAGGATAAGGTCAAAGAATATCCTCACTTTGGGGATTAGGTTTCAACATGTGAATTTAAGCTGAGCCTTTCAGTCTATAGCAGTTAGACTCTAACACTTTTCTTGCAATAAAGATATAATAAGAACATGGAAAATTGACAAGAATATGGAAATGAACAACAACAACAAACTGGATGTAATTGACATTTATAGAACACTTCACTCAACAGAATACACATTATCCTCAAGTATTCAAGGACATTTATCATGTAAGACCATATCAAGCATAATAAAGCAATACTTAAAAAATTTTTTAAATTGAAATTATATAGAATATGTTCTTTGAGCCTAATGAAACTAAACTGGAAATCTAAAAAAAATAATTGAAATGCCCTCCAAATAATTGGAAATTGAACAACTTATGTTTAAGAAATTGTGAGTCGGGAGGATGAGTGGAGGGAGTTTAAGTGGTGGGACCACACTATGGTGCATCTTACAAGGGTACACGTGAAATTTACTAAGTGTAGAATATAAATGTCTTAACACAATAACTAAGAAAATGCCATGAAGGCTATGTTAACCAGTTTGATGAAAATATTTCAAATTGTATATAAAACCA